CTCCCGTGTGGGCTCGGGGAGGGCAGCCCGGCTGCTCCCGTGTGGGCTCGGGGAGGGCAGCCCGGCTGCTCCCGTGTGGGCTCGGGGAGGGCAGCCCGGCTGCTCCCGTGTGGGCTCGGGGACTCGCGGGTCGCACTTCGCCCGCCGGGGCCGCTCCCCTCCCGCAGCTCCGAGCCCGCCGCTTGCCCGAGGTTCTCCCGCTGCTTTTCCCTCGCTCCGCGGCTCCAGGGGGGTGGAGGAGACGCTTTTCCACAGCCTGGCAACAGAGCGCGTGTGGTAACCGCGGTGCGAGCGGGCGGGAACCGGCGGGGACGGGCTCGGCTCCCTGGGGCAGGAAAAGCAGCCGGGGAATGGCCGGTGGGAACAGACAGCTGCGCAGGTTGGTCTCGGTGGAAGTTGGCTCTGGCTGCGGGATGAGGTTTCTGCGCCTCCAGGAGGGATAACCCGGGGGTGTCCGGAAGGATGCTCGGGCTGTCCGAAGGATAACTCGGGGTGTCTGGAAGGATGCTGGTGCTTTGAACAGCTGGAAAGTCACCCAGGACAGTGATTTCTGCTCTGTAATGCTTGCTGAGGTTATTGTAGTTTAAAGTAAAGTGTGGTGAGTTACTTTCCTAATAGTGTTCAGTGATTTTTCAGTGCTTTCAAGTGATTCTTTGGTGTAAGTGCCTGACAATGCTCATATTTCTACAAACAAGCATCTCGTGGTGCTGAGCACCAGAGTCTCCTAGCAGGAGACTTCAAAAGTCTTTCTCTTTAAAAGTCTTTCTCCAAGTGAATAGGAAACTTGGGAATGCTTGCTGTTATCTCTCCCCTGAGAAGTATAGTAACTTAACAACCAGGTAATTAAAATATTAAAAACTGGTCTGTTTCTTTATAGAAGCAGTTTAGGTGTTTGATTGATTTGTACTTTAATCTCACAAAGTGAGGAGGAAGTCAAGTGGGGAAAGTGGCTTTATATCTAATTTGAGTAGTCTAATGAAATTAAGACACAAACTTTTTATGTAATATTTAGTGTGTCCTGATCCTTGTGCAGCTGATTTTAAAAGATCTATTTATTTGTTCACATGTTACACCAGTTTGTAAATTCAGAAAGTGTGGGGGTTTCCCCATTCAGCAATGGAGCACTTTTGTGTGTTTTAAGATCTATTCAGAAAGAGTTTGATTTATTGGAATTTAAACTGTACTGGGTAGGTCAGAATGAATTGGGAGAAATATTTTGTAACTCCAGCTGGAATTTTATATTCCTGAACAAAAGAGTTTGTTATTAGTACCAATAATCCTGTTTAACAGCACAGGACATTATCTACAAATCAGGCACTTGAGGTGCCTTTGGATTATTTGACTTTAAAGTGAGTGGAAGTCCAGTAAAAACTCGTTACCTATTTGTTTAATATTCCCTTATGTTTCCCGGGGCTACCAGGAGATAATGGAGTGTGACACGTGACAGGAATTGTAAGTGAAGGTGAATTACATTCCCTTATATTTTCATGGAGCCTGAATAGAAAAATGAAACCTGAAACTTCAGAGTAAGGGTTTCAATCATTTTTGCATACAGAATAATTAGAAATAGTGGGACTGGAATGTTCAGAGTACTTGTGGCTTTGGACAACAATGAGGAGTGTGTAGAGCTATGAAATCTCTCATTAAAAACAATATTAGTAACCTTTTGGAATAGTTTAAATGAATGGCAGGGCTTTGTTTCTAAACTCTCTGCTGGCAAATTATTATTTTTTTAAATCAAGAATTTCAGTCAGTGAAGGGTGAGGTTATGAATTGGAAGTTTTTATATAAACATTGCAGAAATGTTCTGTGAGTTTGGGTGGGGGTTTTAGGCTCAAGAACAGGTACCTGACAAAGGCATCACTGCCTTGTTTCAAGGGTGGCATTGAGGAGCAGGTTGGAATCTCTTATCCCCAAAAACCTTTCTGCCAGGTGGCTTTGTAAAGCAGATAGGCCTAAATATAAAATGAGTCTAAAAAAAAAAGGATCTCCAAACTTGACACCCAATTCTGGAACTTGTAGGAGGAAATTTTCAGGCCTTCCCTGTTATCTCTCTGAAATACTGAGGTAATGTTTGAAATCCCCTTTTTATTTACCAGTAGTGCAAGAAGCTTCTGTTTGTAGGAGCCACAGGCAGGGAGCACAGAAAATCCCATTTTTCTGAAGGAGGCTGGAGCACAGGGACAGCACTCAGACCTGTTTGGAGCAGCTGTGTAAATTTTAAGCTTCCCTCGGATTCCTGTGTGCCTTGTGAAGCCCAAACGCAGCACCTGCATCGGTTTGGGAGTTTCCCATGATTTCAGGTAGCTCCTGCTTAGAGAGATCAATGAGTTGTTATTTGGGCTTTGGGATATCCCACGAGTGCTTTGTGAAATCCATTTCTAAAGTTGGTTGTGTCCCTGAGGTAATGATTAACTAGATCAATAATGTGTATTGTTAGACAGAAAAACAGCTGATAAAAGGTTGATGTGGCAGGATCCCATTCCTGGTAGCAAAACCCAGATCAGCCAAATCCTCAGTGCTGTGGGTTGGGGGAGATCAGCCACAGTGGGAAGTGGGTACTGCCTGACATCATCTCCTTCCTTTAGGACAGGAGCAGCTGCTCTGTCAGGTTTTGAGAATAAAAAAATAGGATAAAAACTAGGAAAAATTAAAATTAGGATGAATTTGGCGTGGCCTGGGGAGTGTCACACGTGTGGCAGGGGACAGCCACAGCTGGACACTCCCTTGGAACAGGTCAAAGTGGGTGTGCAGAGAGCACAGGGAAGGATTTTGGAATAGGAACATTCCACCTGGATCTTGGGAATGTGGGATTGTTCAGTTTGGAAAAGAGCTCACAGATGGTCGAGTCCAGCCCTGTCCCCACATGCCACATTCAGACACCTTTTGAACAGTGGTGATTCCATCAGTGATGGTGGTGGATTCCACCACTTCCCTGCTCCAAGGCCTGACCACCCTTTCAGGGGAGAAATTTCCCATAATATCCACCCTGAGCCTCCTCTGGCCCAGCCTGAGGCCCTTCCTTCTCCTCCTGTCCCTGTTCCCTGGGAGCAGAGCCTGATCCCCCAGCTGTCCCCTCCTGTCAGGGAGTTGTGCAGAGACATAAATTCCCCCTGAGCCTCCTTTGCTCCAGGCTGAGCCCCTTTCCAGCTCCCTCAGGAATTCTCCAGCCCCTTCCCAGCTTTGTTCCCTTCCCTGGCAGGATGGATTTCCCCATCTTGCCTTGGGTTAGGGCTGGCTGGGCTGGAGGAGCCCTGGGGCTGTGAGTGGGAGGAGCTAGAAATGAGTTTTATTTGTAAATACAACTTTGACAGACCTGCTAACTGCTTTTTTTTTTTGATTTTAATTGCTTTTCAACAGGAGAAGTTGGTGTTTAGGAGTCTGACTCCTGCCTGCACGCAATGCTGCTCATTCCAGAGGAGAGAACCTGGCTGCTGATAACAAGGACATGGTCCAAGTGCCACCCCTGGGCATTGCCAGCCACAGGTGAGCCCAAAACTGAATTTCTGTGGGGAATCAGAAATAAAAACTCATCTGAGGTGTTTTTTTTTGTAGTGAATAAACTACGTTACACAAAAACCTCAGCATTTAGAGGGAATATCTCCCAGGTGGAGCAGCTTTCTCTGTGTCAGGGCAGGAGAGCGATCCTCTGCTCATGGAAATCCAGCAGATCCTCCCATGTTCTTCTTGTCTTTGTCAGACTCACCACAAAGTCCTGAAGAAAAACTGCTGGAAGTTACCATGGACCCAAAAAAACCCCCAAAAATATTCATTAATATGAAATGAATAGCCAGTATTTAGATGCTTGTGTTAAAATAAACAAATGGCTTCTGAACCTGTGAATATTCTTAATTGTAACTGGGCAACAGAACCCATATCTTGACCTCATAAATTCATGATTTTTTCTGCCATGATTTTTCTACATATTAATGTTATTCATTACTGTTATTTTAGTTATTTATTCCCACACACAGCCCACCTTAAAAGGTGCTTTTTGAAAATGCCTTTGACCCAGCTAAGAGGGGTCTGGCAAGCTTGGCTTCTTTTCCACAGGAAAAAAAGGTTTCTTGATTCTTTGGCTGCTGAAAAGGAACATTTCCTTTTGCTGCTGCAACAAGTCTTTGTGATGCTGTGAGTTCAGTATTTAGAGGGAAATCTTCAGTTATCTGCCATTTTTATGGTTTTATCCCTGACTAAGAGGTCTGAATAACTGACCTATTTTCTCCCCTGAATTTGATTTTTTACACATCCTTGTTGCCTGTTTTCTTCTGCTGCTTCATTTCCTGGGAAACCCAGAAAAGCAATTTAGAGATTTCTGGGGTTTTTTTCACTTTTTTTTTTCCCAGTGGATTTCAGAGAATCCTTGGCAGTGCACCCTGAATGAGTCAGGCAGTCCCACTGTGCTACAGATTAAGATATCCACAGGTGGGAGTTATTAAAAGTCTTAAAAACGCCCCAAATCAGTGCTTTTTTTGTGTTTGCTTTATCCTGCCAAGAAACAAAACCCAAGAAATAAACAGGAAATACTTATCCTGCTGAGAAATCAGAGCAGAATACCCTCAGTGTGGATGTGATAACGCTGCAGTGCTGTTGTTTACTGTTATCAGGGATGTTCTTGCAGTGCTCTGGAGCAGGCAGATCCTGCAGTTATCCTTTAGGATAACTGGCTGAAAAAAAAGCTTTTTGGCTCATTTTTGTAAAAAATTATTTTTGGCTTATTTTAATGCCTTTTTGGAAAACCAAGAACTCTGTCAGATGGGACTTTGTGTCAGTGAAAGGGGTTTCTTCTGATTGTACAAAGAAGCAATATTTAGCTGTGATAATGTTATTTTTCAGCTTATAAAACATCTTTTCAGAGAACTTTTAATCTAATATGAGCCAGAAGCTCTTCTCATCTCTAAAGAGGAAGAAATCCTGGCACAGATTCCCAGAGAAGCTGGGGCTGCCCCTGGGATCCTTGGAAGGTCAGGTTGGATGGGGCTTGGAGCACCCTGGAAGTTGCAGGTGCTTTCTCAACCCAAATAATACTGTTCCAGTCCCCCAGATGTTCATAACCCTGGCATAATTTAGGATTCTCCATGAAAAATTCCTAAAACTCCTTCCAGGCTGCCTGAGGGTGTGTTGCCAGCAGCTCCTGGCATCTCTCAGTAACAGCCACAAGTCTTGAACTGCTTCCAGGGCTTTGCCGGACAGCACTGGGAACAAAACACTTCCAGTAATGAGGAAAAACGTGGGAGTGTCCTGCTGTATTCCCAGTGCTGTGGAATCCCGGCAGAGGGAGGATTTTCACAAGATGCAGGTCTCTGTTTCCAGCTACAGAAGCCTCTGTGTGTGGAAAGTGGCTCGGGCACATCTTCCACTGATCTTGCAGATCACAGAATCCCAGAATGGTTTGGTTTGGAAGAGACATTAAAAATCATTTATTCTACTCCCTGCCATGGGCAGGGACACCTTCCACTATTCCAGGCTGCTCCAGCCTGGCCTGGGACACTTCCAGCGTCTCAGGGATGGGATGGGGTAGCCACAGCTCCTCTTGGAATCTGTGCCAGGGCCTCCCCACCTTGACAGGGAACTGCTTTCTCTCAGTGTCTGATCTAAATATTTCCTTTTATGTCACAGATACCACAATGATATCAATGTCAAAGAGCTTCGATACTATTTTATTTCATATATATTTATACAGGAAATCTTAACATTTTTATTAATGAAGTTGTGCTCACCTATTTCTCCTCTAACTTTATAAGAGAATCTAGGTACAAAGAAATGTGTGAGGCTTCTGGAAATAGTGAGTGGTTTTGGTAAATACTTTTTTTGCCTGCTCCTTCACTGTTTGAATGAAAAAAATTAGTCCAAATGATCTGTCTGAGCTTTAGATGTAGCTTTTTATTGTTGTTTTTGAAGGCAATTCATCAAGACCAGTGGCTTTCCCAGGATATGCAAGGGAATAAAGTAAAAGCCCTACTGAAGACTGAAGGAGTTATAATTTCTTTCAATTATAGTTATTTTTTTTTTTAAATTAAAGGTTCCCCCCCTCCGCTTTTATTTCTCAAAAGCAGCATTTAATTAATTGATTTGTAACTTTGAGATTCTGAGTGATTCCATCCTTTTTTTTCTTTTTTTCCTGCAACTTGTTAGAGGTTCCTATGTAAACCCTAGAAGAGAATTTATGTTTGACTGGGTGGAAGAACAGGCTCCAGTGTTTTGGAAGCACTGAGCCTTATCTAGGGTACACGGAGTCCCTCTTCTCCTGGGCTTTTAGACACATTGTCCTGCACAACTCAACATCAGCAGTGATTAATGGCTCTGAAAATAAAGCATAAATCCATTTGTTACAGATCCTATTTTTAATCTGTGCACAAGTATTTTATGCTGGCCAAGGGGGCAGGAGGTTTTTCTCTGTCTGCTGCTTCCTGGAAGCTCAGACAGCACCAGGGGCTGGGCATTGCCATGGGCTTGCTGCTAAATTCTCGTGGAATTTTGGCCTTGCTGGATCCTAAGGGATGCCTGTGTTTGTTCAGGAGTCACTTGGAGCAAAGTGTGGGTCACACCCTCCTCCTCCTCCCCTGCAGGGTCAGAATGTCCCTGTGTGAGCTCTTCTTGTGCCTCATTTAATGACATAAATACTGACAGCATTTATATGGAATTTTACAGGATATTTGTGTGGCCTCCACGGGGTCCTTGTACCTCTAATTCTGTTATTTAATAGGGATTGGTCTGGATGTGCAAAATCAGTTCACAGCAAGTGATAAACTGTGTAAACTTTTTAAGTTCAAAAGCATTCTCTGCAGGGTTGCTCTGTCCTGCTCTTGGTGGGAACACACCTGACCAGAGAATATTTCTGTCCCACCTTTTCAGAAAATACCCAGGAAGGGAGATCTGAGTCTGTGACAGCTTTCACTGGGCCAGGGATTAATAGTAAAGAAGATAAATTAAATTCAGAGAATTCCAGGATGGAAGAGGCCTCAAATATCATCTGTTCCAGTCTTTCTTGGCATAAATAACCTCTGAATAAATAATTTATTTGTAATATTCCTTTCTGCAGCAGTACTTGGCTTTCTTTCTTACCCACATTTTGCTCTTTGGAGTTTCCAGGCACTGCTCCCTTCTTCCCATGGGCTCTTCACTGGAATATTTTGTGGTTTTTGGGGTTATAACAGGGATGATGGCTCTTGTTTTCCAGAGGGGATGTGTTTGCCTGGGACAGGTGCATTCCCAGTCTCACAGAGCAGGCGATTCTGAACGTGCCATGCCAACACCAAAAATGTGAAACCTGTGGAGAATTCCTATTACTGTGCAGTAAGTCAATTCTGTTACTTGCATATTTATTTTCAGAAGACAGATTTGGGTTAATTTATTAATTTTATTAATTAATCATTATTAAATTTGCCTTAATAAGGCAAAGGAGGGAGCACGATTTAGACTTTATCCTTTTGGTGGGGCTACGTTACGCATTCCCAAAAAATCCGTTTACTTCAGGAAATCAAAGCAAAGCTTTGCCTTGCTGCCTTTACTGCTTTCTAGATGAACATCTAATATTAAAAAGGAAATATTTCTTTCTCTGTTCAATGCAGGTAAACAGCAGAAAGCCAACCATGGACACTCAGTTTTTCTCCCCATTACTGGGAGCAGTCCCCAGTCCCCCCACGCCTCCGGAGCCCTCCCAGCTGTGCAACGACTGGCCGGGATGTGCCGAGGATTTTGCATCCCAAACTGCCTTCCAGGAGTGCCCAAAGAAAAGGTATCAGCGTTCCTGCTGTGGCCTCAGGGCTTCTGGGTCACTGCAATTCTTGTGCTAAAGAACAAATGGGGATTTTGGATATTTTTTGGGGAGAGTTTCTGGAAACTCAGCGGATTTTCTTTGTTCTGTAATGGTTATTACTGAGGTTGTGAGGAAAAGATGTGTGGGGGTTTTCTTTTTTCCATCTTAAAGCTGAGTGGTGGTGACAGAATATTGCCTTTTTTGGAGGGAATTGGGTGATAGAGACTGACACAGCAGCTCTTGATGAGAAAATGCTCTTTTAATGAGCATTTCTAATACCTCACTGCATTTTTTTTTAATCATTTGCTTAATAAGAAAGACAAAATCTGAGGTGGGGAGAAAGCAGAGTCCACTGGCAACAGTGCTGAAAATTAATAGTTAAGGTGCTGAAAATTAATAGTTAATTAATAAATTAATAAAATGAATAGTTAATTATCTATTAAAATTAATAGTTAAGGAAGATATATTGCAAAAAACCCTTTTTTTTGCTAGTTCCAGTGGGAAGTCTCAGAGTGATGTTCATTTTTGAATAAAAGATCACACAGCTTTGGTGTCAACTGTAAGAGTTAATTTTAAGTAAGGAGTGGCAATTTGCCAATTAAAATATACAGTATTTCCTTAAAGCAGCCTTTGTTATTATATCTGTGATTATTCACAGATTATTGCAAGGTAACTTTAAAGACAAAAAATAGTTATGGAATTAGAGTTAATCCATGTCTATACCCATTCTGAGCCAGCAGATATTCAGAATTTCTTGAGGTCTCCTTAAAAAAAAAAATAGGAAAAGAAAAAAACATTGTGATTTGACCAAGACACAGAAAAGATCTGGTTATCAAGTATCAGTTCTGCAGTCACAAAACATTTTGAAAAGAGTGTTTGCACTTCAGTGCATCCAAAATTAAATCCAGATCCCTTTGAGAGGAAACTGAGCAGTCATGGAGTAAATCAGGGACTGAGTTAGAAGTGAAACTGGTGAGGTCTTAAAAGCCAGCAGGGTGTAATTTTCACTGATTTTCCCAGTGGCAAGAGATTAAAAAGGTGATTTTTTTTTTTTAATAAGAGTTTGTCTCACATTTTATTGTCTCTGTTCATCAGAGTCAGTGAGCAATTAAGTGGCAGCTGAGGTGGTTTGGGTAAGGTGGCACCAGGGAAAACTCCGAGATCTTCAGGGACACTGAAAGGAATCAGAACAAGGTGGGGAGGGAAGTTCATTGGAGCAAAACAACGAGGATGGAGGGAAGGAAATCTTTAACAGCATTGTTTTAATTAACTTGTGAGGAAGAGTCAGGAGTCATTATGAGCAACCTGATAAAAATCTAATCTTGCACCTGAAGTAAAAATTAGGATTGTTTAAAACTTTTGGAAAACCTTGGGTATTTACCAGAGATAGTTAGTTAGTTCTTTTACTGAGTGAGGAACTAACTAACTTGAGTGAGGAACTAACTAACTTGAGTGAGAAACTTACTTAGACTAAGAAAACACTTACTAAAACCCCAAAAGGGCATTAAAAAGTGGTCCAACTTAAGTAAATAAATTATTTTCTGGGATTAAGATAATAGGTTTTGAATTATTTGGCAGCAGATAAATTAGAATGTTCCAGACTTTGAGAATATTGATCCTATTTATGCTCTAAACAAGACAGTCAAGGTTTGAAGGAATGTCCGTGAAACAGTTTTGTTTATTGGAAAGAAAGAAAAATTTTTGGTGCTTGGAAAGTCTCTGGTGAAGCAAAAAGGAAAATAATTCTACTTCACTTGGACTATAGAATTCACAAATGCAGAAAGAGATTTCTGTAGAAGGATGCTCAGGATACATTTAATTCAGAACAACTAGAAAATGCTGCTAAAATAAAAGTTTGATCCTCTTCTTCTTGCCTGTTTTGTTTAGGAGAAAAATACTTATTTAAAACTTCTACTTTGTTGTTTATTTATTTCATTTTTCAGGGCACCAATAAATCTTAATTACTCTGGCAATGGGCCTGATATGTTTGGGTTGGTGTCAAGCATTTTAGAGGAGCCAAACAAACCAGAACCAGCTACAGATTGGTAAGTTTGTTCTGAGAGTCCTTGTCATTTGTGTGCTGGTTTTTATGCACATTGTCACATAGATATGATACACATTTTTAAGTATTTCAGAGTTGAGTAATGACAGCCTTTTAAATCCCCTTAAAACGTGGAGGTGTCTTCACTTGCCAGTAAAAAAAAACCACAAAAACACAGCAAAACTGAACTGTTAAAAATGCAAATTTTTTTTAAGTTTTCCATCACCTTTACAGAATTTGAGGAGGAAATAAAGATGATAATTAATTCTGACTGGTAGGGAGCTGACTGACTGCAGTGGAATCTGAGATTAAATATAAATAAATCCAATTAAATAAAAATAAATCCAAATAAACTCTGCAATTCTGAATGTGCATCAGCTAAACAGTTGGATGATGGGATTTCACAGAGCATTTCAGCTGCAGTGGGAATATTCCTCCTGTTTTTGAGGAGAGCTGTGCATTGCTGGTCAATAATGTAAAGCTGGGGAATAACCCTGATGTGTGAATTGTTTTAAAGTAAGAAACGTTTTAAATCCTGATTGTTGAACTCTCTTACAGGAATTCTCTATCCAGATTGTTTCCCCCTCTGTGGGCACCTGATCTGGGCAGCAATGGGGAGTTCCCAGGGCTCCCAGCTCAGCACTGTGTCCAAAACAAGGATTTCCCCAGCTTGCTGGGCACCAGCTGCCATCAGGAACCCCTGCAGGAGCCTCCTGATGTGGAGATGCTGCACAGAGGTCTGGGAGACCTTCAGCTCCTCGAGTCTTGGCTCTCTCCCCATGCTCATCCCAGCACCGCCCCGATGAACGCTTACCCTGAGAATCCCTCTTGGCAGAACAGCACCACAGCTCCCCAGGAAGGGTTTTCCTTCCCAAGTGGGAGCTGGAACCAGCATCTGTGCACTTACGACCACGGGAGGTTAAATGGAGGCTATGAAAAATGTGGCTCCAGTTTTAGCCCTTTTTCTCCTCAGAACAGGATGAAGGAAAGCCCCAGCGTGCAGAAGGAGCTTTGGAAAAGCGAAAGAGCAAGAGGAAAAGCTCTGAAAAATTATGCTCAAGGACAAATTAAGTATTCCCCTGATCTTTCCAATCAGCCTGGTGATAACTCTTGGGATAAAGTATCCCAGGACAGCCAGCTGTTCTCTAAAAGATGTGAAAACTTCACAGCTGCTCACAAACTGCAGTCACCTGTCCATCCATCACTTAATTTCTTCAATCAACCCACTAAGGAAAATAATTTTTCTGGAGGAACAGGCAGAAAACCCCAGGAAAGCCATGTGCAAAATGGCCATCGTGGCTTTACTTTGGGAGATGCTTTTAATAATAATAATAATGAGTGTAAAGTGAATATGGGCCCTAAGGAAAGTTCTCATGTAGCTGAATATGATTTACCTGTGAAAAATGCTGTGCAAAACGGGAGTTATTCCTCATACCAGGGGTGTGTGTGGCTGGATGGGAAAAAACTGGCAGCTGCATCTGAAATTCCATGTGGAAAACAAATGGCCACGAGCCCCCAGTCCTCATCAGGGGTTTCCACCATGTCAGGGGGCTCTCCCACCCACCAGCCTTTCACACAGCCCTCCTACTACCCCCAGCTCCTTCCTGCCCTCCCTCCCAGGAAAGATGGGAGGTTACAGACATCCAAGGGAGTTCCCAGTCATTTGGGGGTTCCTCATTTCGTCTCAGAGAGCCAGAAGCAGGTGAGATCCATTGGAAGATCACAGCAGGATGCCGGGATGAGTAAAGAGGGGCGGCGCCGCAAATTCCCCGTTCGTTTTTCGCCCGACTGGTTCGTGCAGCAGAAAGCTGCAGGTGGAGACCCTGCTGAGAAATACCACAGGTTCCCAAAAAGGCAGAGCCAGGAAAGTGGCAATAAAGATGATAGAAGAGGTAGAACGAATTGGATCCCTCATTTGGGATCTGCAGCTTCAAACCACCAGCCCTTCGATGCGTTTCCAAAAAAGCACGAGCAGAATGGTGGCAGCTTGTCAGATTTCATCAATCCTTCTCTGCTTCCTTCTTTCCCATTCATGTCTGATTTTAAGCAAAATCCCAGCTTCCCTCCGTTTAATCACCAACTGCTCTCATCAGGAAATAATTTTAATTTCCCTCCGCCACCGTTTCCGTTCTCGGACCTTGTTGATCTTTTTCACTGCGACGACTTTAACCCCTTGAGTCCCTTCTTCAGTGATATCTTCTCTGGGGAAATCCCTGCCCCCTGCTTTGCCTTTCCAACCCCATTCAACAAGTACAGAGCTCCCAGGAGCCGCAGTGGCCCCGCTAACGAGCTCCACATCCGACTGGAGGAGTGCTACGAGCAGTGGAGAGCTCTGGAGAAGGAGAGGAAGAAGGTAAAACACAGTTGGTGATGATTCCTGATAAAGACGTGGCTGGTTTTAAGAGAGAAAGTTTTATGGTGTTTCTTCTTTAGTTTGTTGGGGGGTTTTTTTGGTTTTTTTTTTTTTGTTGTTGGTTTGGGGTTATTTTTGTTGGTTTGGGTTTTTACTGTCAGTGATACAGCCACAGCTTTACCTTTTATTTTTTTTTTCCTTCTTCCTTGTTGTAGTAAATCTCTGGCTTTAGTAAAAAAGAAAATGAAGTAACTAATCCTGGGCACCCTCGATTTGTCTGTAGAGAAAACCTACAGTGTTTTGTTTGTTCCCAAAGGAAATTTCAGCTTATGCTCTTCTCATTACGGTCACTTTCCTGCCTCAGGCCCATTCCCAGAACTGTTGGCAGGGAAGGATCTCACTGATAATGAGGGTATTGCACTTGGGAATGAAAGCTCTGTGCTCTAAAGAAGCAGGAAGAGCTTTCCTAAGAGGAGTCAAATCCCTGAATTCCATGCCAGGTCTCAGAAAATGAATTGTCTGTAACCCCTGGTTCTAATTATGCACCCAGTCCTTGGCTGCTTCCACGTGTGAGAAACCTCCTGGCCATTGGAAAAAGGTGTCTGAGCAAACAGACCTGGGAAACACCTTTTGCTTTCCATCATCAGCTGGGGGACCTTGCTAATGGACTTTTGGAAGTGTGAATGGAAGTGCCTGTGCTGCTCTCCAATGGATGCCTTTAAACAAGACTCCTCTCTGCCTGTCTGGCCTTCCAGGAATTCTCTGGAAGTGAGAAAGGGATGATTCTTGCTCCAGTGTTTCCTGTTCTCAGGCAGGATTTGGGACAATTTAGTCATTTACAAAGACCAAGTTGTAGTTTTTGTCTCCTGCTTTTTATTTCTTCATTAAAGGAGGGTTGTTTATCCTTGTACTTAATAATGAAAGGGGCTTTATTGACCCTTTGATCTGGTCCATTCCAAGTGATCCAGTTTTATCCCAGTGAGCTGCTCTGGGTTGCTCAGGGCGTTGTGTGGTTACGGAATATAAACTGTTCTCAGTCCTCCAAACCAGCTGCCATAGCCTGGCTCCCATTCCTGCAGCCAAACCACATTCTTCAGGAGGGGATGACTTCGAGAAGATGGAAACTCCCCCTGGGATTTGATTTAATTCTCTCCACCTTGTCTGATCACTCAGCCCTTTCAGCTTTCTGAAACCTGTTCATTGCAGCTTTGGGGTCACAGCTTATCATAAACCCCACTCTTCCAGGGATCTCACACTTAAAGCATTTCCACAAGTTAGGAATTGTCTGCAGTATTAAATGTGCATGTAATTTAATTAATGGCTTATTAGCTGTAATTCTTAGGTAATTCTGGTGTCATTATAAGAATCCATGGCCCTTTCTCTGTCCTTTTTTTTTTCTGGATGCCTTTTGGGCTCCTCAGATAATGAGTACAGGTGGAATCAGCTCTTGTTATCCATGTTGGACCAGGGCAGGGACTAAATAATGTGGAAGTGAAAAGAGAAGGACTTCCTCTCAAATTCAGTACAAATACACACAATGGGAATGTGGAATTAGCCTTGCCTTGAATGGCAGTGCAGCACCTGACTCCTCTCTCCTACATCCATGGTACCCTGGAGGAGGAAGGACATAAGGAATCTACTGCTAGCTGTGTGTTTTTTACTCCCTGTGTAAGAATTTCCTATCCAAAAATAGTTTTGGTGATGTTTAGTCACTGTGTGTGTTAGACACTGGCTGAGCCACTCCTCAGCAGAAGTTTGGCTGTTGTGTTAAAGATTTTCTCTGTTAAGGATTTTCTCTGTTAAAGAGGTGGTACCAGTTTGTGTTAAATGTGGTTTTATCCTGATGCACTTGAGATGTGATTTATGCTGCTGCTATCACCTGGTTCTGTTTGTTTAATAAGCATAACATGTGACATTTGAGAGAAGCAGTGAGAGGTGTTGAACTCTGAGGGAGAGCTGAATCAGAGGAATATTCCTGCAAGGAAGCTGGAGAGAGACTTTTGGCAAGGCCATGTAGTGATAGGTCAAGGGGAATGACTTTAAGCCAGAAGAGGGCAGGGTTAGATTAGATTTGGGAAAAAATTTTTGCTGTGAGAGTGGTGGGACCCTGGCACAGGGTGCCCAGAGCAGCTGTGGCTGCCCCTGGGTCTCTGGAAGTGCCCAAGGCCAGGCTGTACAGGGCTTGGAGCAGCCTGGGACAGTGGGAGGTGTCCCTGCCTGTGGTAAGGGGTGGAATGAGATGAGCTTTAAGGTCCCTTCCAAGCCAAACCATTCTGGGATATTTGGGAATGTTTTTCTGTCAGGGCAGACCGAAGTTGCTAGGGTGCTCACTCCAAATCCACTCGAAAATTCCAAACAGCGCCAAAAATCGGATTGATGCCATTGTACTAATTTCAGGCACTCACACTGACAAATCATTTCCCTTTCAGACTGAGGCTGACCTTGCAAGACACTTCCCAGGGCAGCACATCTCCAGCTCCAGCACCTGCCTCATGTCCCGACTCCCCGCGAACCCATCCCGCGTGGATCGCCTGATCGTCGACCAGTCCCGGGAACGAGCCAGGGTAGGCCTGGTGGAGCTGCAGCTTCAGGATTTGTTTGTTTATCAACCAGTGCTCAGTGATTTTGGTGTTTTCTGCCAGGTGCTCGTGCTGATAGGAAGAATGGAGAGGCTTTGTGGTGCTCCTGTGCACAGGAACATCTCCAGGACCTTGGAGCTCCACCTGGAAGCCATTCAGGTGACCAAGGCACGTCGGAAGGATGAGATTGAGAATGCTGCAAACCCCCAGAGTCATGGGGTGCCACGCTATAACAACGAGAAAGGTAGTGCTGCCCATTCCTGGAGCCCTCAAAGCTTTTTCAGGGATTAAGTTCTGAATATATTCCACCTAAAAATGTAAATTTGCAATGTGCAGCAATTCTTGTCACCTTGGCAAAAGAAAGTTTGCAAATACACTCTTGTTACTTTTTAAGACTTTAAATTACTTCGAGTTCTATTGGTTTTTTTGTTGTTCTCCTGTTACTAGTTTAAAAACTTTGAAATTTTTTCCTCTTGGCTAGGTGACAACTGTAAAAACTCCTCAGTGACATTATATAGCCATAAGTGGTTGTCCTAAAGCAAAAATGTGCTCATTTTTAAGCAAGTAGAATTATTTTCTGATATGGCTAAACTTTTTCTCTTCAGCTTATAAAATAATAACAAAATTGCCAGTGTTGTGCAAATCAATTGTCTGTCTACCTTACCTAAATCACAAACCCACCAGGAATGACATTCCATGTTTCCCAAATGCTGTTGCAGTAAAGCCACAATAACCTGTAGCAGCACTAAACGTGGCAATTTATGATTTGAGGTTAAGGATTATATTATTTTTCTTGAGAAAATCCCTGTGACTCCTAACTGCTGAAGTGGGCAGGGAGGTTCCTTTGGCTGTGGAAGAGCTCTTCTTGTTGGGGAAAGATAAGATGGAAGGAGAACCAAAATGTTTTGCTTTTGCAATTCAGGTGCCAAAAATTAAAATACAAAATGAATGTAAAGTGTCATGCCCTTAGAACAATAGTCCTACATGCAAACTGACTTTTAAAGTGACTCCTAAAACTTCCATGTGACTTTAACTCCAAGTGGGAGTCAGGAAGAGTAGAAGGAAGGTTCTTGGCCAGGCAGGAGAAGTAGGAGAGTGGTTAAGTGGATGATTATGATTAGATTTAATGCCAATACAGCATCCAAATATTGCCAACCTACAGCTCTATCATCTGTTACAAGGAGTTGTGGCGTCATCAGGTCCTGGTCCCTCCTGCTGAGTCACAGGTTTTGGGGAGATCCCCTCCCTTCCTGAATTCCCAGAGAAGTGAAGGAGCAGCTCAGTCCCAGATTCCATCAACAATCTGTGTCTGAAGGGTTGTAGTATCAGCAGTTTTGGCTGGAAATGTGCAGGTTTGCAATCCCTGGCCTTGCAGGATTCACAGTTGCAAACAAGTCCCCTGTGGAGCTGCTTTAAGATTTCATCTCTATATTTGGCCAGATCTTTGTGCTTTTACTCACCCATCCAAAAATCAGTGCTCCTTTCTTCCTGCAGAATTAAAAAACTGCCTGCAGCCTCGGCAGACCAGTTTGCCCAGTGTCCACCAGCATTTTGTCCCCTTTTGCAGCATTTTGTCCCCTTTTGCAGCATTTTGTCCCCCTTTGCAGCATTTTGTCCCCCTTTGCAGCATTTTGTCCCCCCTTGCAGCATTTTGGACCCTTCTTGCACAGACAATTCACGTGAGATGCTGTAGCTGTCATTAATGGTGCAGCTCAGCTGTTCCTTGAGCACGATTTGCTCCAGGCTGTGAGTTGAACAAATTTATGCAATTTTAAAAAAAGAAAATATATAAGTTGATACCATTTCCAGGCTTGTCCACTGATGTGTTTTTCCTGTTGCAGATGTGCTGGCCTTGGCAGCTGCCCTGCGAGCCCTGGCTGGTGCCACGCGCAGGGCCCGCACCGCGCTCTGGTGCGCGCTTCAGGGGACTCTGCCAAAATCCCCTCCAGCCAGACCCCAAAATCAACAGCTTCTCCTTCAAGGGACGCTGCAAGAGCTTTGCCCTTCAAACACAAGCACCCAGGAAAAAAGCAGCGTGGAGCACAAAAGCAGAGGAAGTGAAAAAGCTGAGGAAGCGACGAAGATTTTGGAATAAGCGCAGATGATGAAAGGGAAGATGAGGATGGGGAGGGAAGGGCTCAGGTCCTGCCCAGCACCGGGAGAGGTGGATTTCATAGGATGTCAGGAAGCAAAAAGGGTTAATTAAGGTGCCTGCTCAGTGCAGTTGTGGTACTGGAATTCTGGTGTGGAGAGACACAGCTTGTGGTGGTGTCAGTGCAGTTTTTCTGCTGCTGAGAATTTCGATGTTCCGAGGAGCTGAACGAGAGCTGAGCATTTCCTCCACCCAAAGCTCTGAGTCCTGCCAGGACCTGAGCAACCAGAGCGTGGTAGAGCTTAATTCTCCTTTTCTTTTGCTCAGTGAGACAATTCAGCACATTTAAAGGTCCTCAATAATCGTTCAGGGTTTGTTTTATTTTGACATTTTGCACCGTGTGTAGTTCTTTCCAGAGCCAAAGCGATCACTGAGTAGTTTTCATGCCATCACTGTGTCGGGAGCAATCCAGGCTGCTGTGCTGGTGGCTTTTGGTGACAGATTTTCCCTCAGTTTGACAGGAATAATCAGTGTTCAGTGCTGGTTGTGTGACAGGCTTCAGCAGTTGTGCTGCCTGTTCAGTTTTCCAGCAAAACCAGTGTAAACCGAGCTTTTTCCATTGAATTGCCTGCTTTGGTTTCTCCACTAAAAAAGTGGATTTTGTAGCTTTGCAGTGTGAACTGCATGGAAATGCACATTAGCAGGTGATAGAAAACTCGCTCAGGATTAGAAATTAGGTTTATTGGTTCCTCAGTGGGTTGAAAACCAGTAACAATATAACATAGAATGCACTTAATTAAAGTAACTATTATTTGTTATTAATATATGTTCATGGTACTATAATTTTTCTCAGACACATTCCATATTTATTTTAAAGTCTCCATTGAATGTTTATTTAAAAATCTATTTTAGTAATAGGAAGTTAAATATTTTGCCAAATCTTCCAAATAATCAGATTAAAGGATTTACTCAGGAACTCTGTATATTATTATATAAATATACACGTGGCATATAGGGATTTTTTTGGGAAAGGGATGTTTGCAAAATATTTACACAAAACTAACTATGTACTAGGTTACCAAAGCTGTTTCACTGATCATTTTTTTTTGGTGTGGAAGGTTTAATATATTTAATTGCTGTTAATTAGTCTCCACTGTATGGCTTAGACAATCAGAGTGTGGTTGTTCAGCGTGAAAATTAGTAAAGAATCATTAACTCAAGGTGTGATCTTAGGGCATTTAGGAATATTTTAATGCTTTAACAACTGTCTTACTGCTACACAATCTCCTAGCATGTACTAGTAATTAAGGTTCTTGAGTGTCAGGATTTAATGCACAGCTTTGGAGAGCAGTTCTTGGGTTAAAAGTGAATTAAGTTGGGGATATAAGCAAAATTTGAAGGACAAAAATGAAGATTTTTATATCACGTGGCGTTCAGTGTCAAATTTGACATTTTTGTGGGTAATTATAGAACTGTTCCCATATATATTTGTACTGGCAAAAGTGTTCCAAATGCGGTTGTGTAGTTCTGGATCTGTGGATGTTTCTAGAGCAGATTTTGTCTCAGTAGTGCCACCCTTAACTCTGTTGGGGCGTGAAAATTTGTAGCAAAAATTTACCCAGGCCTCATTGCAATCCACCAAGTTTAAAAGCAAAAGTGGATAGAAATCAGATTCTTACTATAGCAAAATTATGTTTTTTCCCCTAAAGAAAGTGAATTCCACTTAACAGATTATTTTCAGCCTTAAAAAACAGATACCAGAGTTATTTTAGTGTTTTCTCTGTGTGCACATGCAATTTATTTGCACAAACTGATTTAAGAGGGGTCAGCCTGCATTTGTGAAACTGACTGTGCTCCACAGTTTAAAAGGGGAGTTTGCAGTATTTCAGTTTGTGGGTGATTTGGGGGTGTAATTACCCAAATTAAAATTAATTTACCATTGCTGTACTGACGGGAAATCAGAATTTAAGAATCTGAATCTTGGGGGTTTTTTCTGTTTACAGAACCAAGGTTATTTTGTAGTGGTTTAGGGTATGATTGGTTCTTACAGTACTGCTCATCTGTTAATTAATGATCTTAATTAGTTCATAGTTAATGTGCCTTTAACAGCCCCATTTTTCCAGAGTGTTAAAAAGCTGTGTGGTCTCTTCTGTTCTCAGTTTAAAAATGCATTTTAAAGGGTAACACGTGGCTGCACGTGACTGTAATCAACACACATTGTTAATTATGTTAATTGCACACACAAGATCATCCAGGTTTGGGTTCTTTAAGGAGCTCTGTGCCTCTGGAATGTCCCCCTGGATCATGTGCCCGGGTCAGGTGCTCCTTGTCATGCCCCACAAATGCTCCTGTTTCACTTTGCCTCGCTCTCTTTTCTTCACAAAAACTCCAGCTCTTCAAACAAAAATGATTTATTTTTTTAGTGCCCTTTTCTATAAATGAGTTAGTTATGGACAGTATCAGACCTAGAATGAGTTTTGTCTTCAGTTCTTAATTTCTGCTCTGCTTCGCTTGTTTTATTACAAATTCTTTTGCATTTTAAGGGAAAAAAACCCCACTTTATTTTGTATAACACTTTATTAAACCTACTTTATTTTGTAAAATAGCACCTGGAGCTGCAGCAGCTCTGTCATAATTTTTGCTGCCTTGTGTTTAATTTGGCAACAAGGTACAAATTCTGCAAGTCTTGCACTGTTTTTTTTGCTGGGAATAAGCACAAGTATGATGCTTGTGGCTTTAGGGCCTAATTGTATTCACATTTTACTGACTTTAGAAAGCAGAATTGAGGTTTTGGGTCACAGTTAAGCCAAAGAGGTGGTTTTCATTTGGAGTTAGGTTTGATTTCTGGAGAGAAAAAAGCAAATCCCCCTTTCCCTCCCCATTTTGAGAAGCGGTCAGGTAAAATTCAGTTTATTCCCTTTTTTCCCCCACTTCAACCCCTCCACTCAGCTTTCTTGAGATTTAATGGTGTGTTTTTTCCCTGTTTTGGTTTATACTTTTTAAATTTTGGGGGTGAGATGAAGAAGGTGGCAGAGTTGCAGCCAGTCCTGGTATCAGGGTTTGCTCCAGTTTAAATCAATACTCAGTTGTCCCTTTTTGAGTCAGGATTATTATCAGGTGCTTTTTGAGAGTTGGTAGTGAATCTTTAATGCTCTAAAATCACAGATTGGTAGTCCAGCACAACACAGACTTAAGAATTACAATTATTTCTGTGTAAATTGGAGGTTTTTGGTGATTCAACCTTTTTAAATCCCAGAGGGGAGGCCAGCAGCAGGGAAAGAACTCTTCATTCTTTTTTTTTTTTTCTGGTTGTAGGTTATATATCCCTGTTTTTCTGTATCCACAGGGTCCCTCTGGCAGTGAAGTTGCTCTGATGCTATTTATATAAACTAAAAATGGGTATTAATTTGTTATTTCCATTAGAGCAGCGTGCAGGGAAGGTTATTTAAGTTCGTGGTGCTTGTGGCCTTTTCAGGAGTGGGTGACATTTCGTTCACAAACTGCTGCTATTGGATTTTATTCTTTCCAAACTGAATATTTTTCTTTGCTGCTGGCATTTACCACCCCACCAATATTTTTGTCTTCTTTTTTTGTTTTGCCTTTTCTTCTTGTTTTGTTGTTTTGGGTTTTTTTTTTGGGGTTTTTTAATTTTTTAATTTTTTTGTTTCACATTCCTGGGCATGTGAAATTTGGAAATTATTTCCCTTAGGACTGCTGCTGTAGTTCACAATAAGTCTTTTATGGTTATTCCTGGTTGTTTTTCTTGGAGGGAAAGGTTTAAGGTAGGGATTATGTGAGTGAGAGGCCTTGTTGAGGTTATTTCTTTTTTCTCAGAGAAGTGTGGGGATCCCCCACGTTTTTGTGGAAAACTCCTGGGCACTTTTCCAGAGGTGACCACCAGCACAACTTCCTGGGATTGTCTTTGATCTGTAATCCTTTTTTTGGGGGATATAAAGGAGGAAAAGGGAGCTTCAAGAAGGAAGGAGCCTCCAGGAGCCCAAATTCCAGTGGAGAAGCTCATTCTTTTGGTTTCCATGGTCAGGAAGGCTTGAGGGACCAGGAATCCTCTCTTGAATCAAGATTCTTTTCCCCATTGGATGCTGTCAGGGTACAGCTGCTGCGATTTTGGACAGAGTTGGCTTCTGCTTCACTAAGTCACCATGAAGTCATATCTCTGATTCTGCAGGAAATTGGATTTTTGTTCTTTTTTTGTTCTGTTTAAATACTGTAAAAATTATGCAACAAACAGACCTTAAGCCTGTATGTTTATTTTTTTTTTTAAATTATATTTTTACCTGCTCTGGTAGCTGGGTATTGGAATTTTATTTTATTTTTTCCTATTCTTTGATTGAAAGCTGCAATTTTGGCAAATACTTCATAGTGGCACCAGCCCAAAGCACAGTTTTTGGGGATTTTGTTCTTTATATCATTATTTGTGTGGCAGAGTATGTGATTTTAGCTGCAAAACTAAATATTCCATTCTTTACAGCCACAGTCTGCTACAGATTTATTTCTTTTTCCCAGTGGAGTCATTAAAGGTGGAAGAACTTTGGGTTCTTGATTATTTATTGTTCATAGATTGAGCCAGGAGCAGGGAGCCCTTCACATCAGTCAGTATGAGGGCAGTTGACTGTGGAATATGTATTTTAATTATTATTTTGGAATAATTGTGCTGCTGAAGAGCTGAGTGTGGTCCTGCTCCCACTGAAGGCACAGCTTTTAAGAGATTTCTGTCTGGATTTGGCTTTGTTGCTTTACCTTGAGCTCAGGAGCTCATTAACCACAAGCTCAGTGTTCATCTTGAACATTTATCTTTTTTTAAGGATCCTTGGGATAATTTTGCTTTCTCTTCAAGCTGAGGAATGTACCTGCTGCAGAAACTGGGGCTGTTTCTGGGAATTTTCACCCCTCGTGTTCTCCTGTTCTGCTTGGAGGGAAATAGAGCCTTAACCATGCCGAGACCTTGATTTATTCCCTGTGCAGTTCATCCATGGCAGTCACCAGCACTTTATTTTTCCTTTGGTTTGTAGCACTTGAGATGTCTGATTTTTATCAATATTTTTTTTTTTTTTTTCTGGTAGAGAACTGCTTTGTAATTTTCTAAAATGAAATAATAACTTTGCCAAGCGAATTTATCAGTGATATAGAATGGAAGGTCTTTATTTTTCTTCATTAGCAATACTGTAATCAAAGGTGCAGAATAATGTGTTTAATGTACATGTCTGTGCTGTTAGAGATTGAAAATATATTGGGTTAGGAGCAACTTTGAAACAAATTGATGAACTGGAGTTCTAAATCCTCTTTGCTTGTTGCCAAATGAGCTTTAAAAAGGAAAATATTTGCATATAGTGTATTAAAAAAAAAGAAAAAAGCACTGGTTAGAGAATAAATCAGAGTAAAAATCATTGCCAGACAAAGATTGCTTTATGTTTTTTACTGAATAAAACACAACTTGTTTATGCACAGCAGTAACTTAATGAGCGTAGTTTTTTCACAGAATTAGGCTGTTTCCAAGATAGAGATGGGAAAAATAAGTTTCCTTTTATTTTTTATGACAGATATATAAAGATGAATAGCATCTATATTTTAATATTACTGTTTGGTGTCTGAAGTGTATAATTTATGTGTGTGTTGGTCAAACTCATTTCCTTAAAATATCCCATTTTACACTGCTAGTGAAATATTACTGAAGGAGATTTTAGTTGGGCCCAGCAGAAATAACGTGAAATTATAACTTAGCTTAAAAAAAGCAAATTGTTGATTATGCAAGATTCTTAATCATTAATCAATTTAGGCTTATTTAAGTGTTTCTGTAAAACAACTG